GCCTCCCACCGCCCCATCCAACCCCTGCTCCTTCCTGACTGCCCCCCGGGACCCTTTCCCCCATTCAATCCCCCTGTTCCCTGCCATCTGACCGCCCCGACCCCTATCCACCCCCCTACCACCCCTCCGAACTCCCCTGCCCTCTATCCAACACCCCCTCCCTGCTCCCTTACCGCGCTGCCTGGAGGTGGCTGGCTGCGCTACAGCCGCGCCGCTCGGCTGGAGCCGGGCCACGCCGCCACCGTGCAGTGCCTGGAGCACCGGGTCAGGCTGAGCTTGCAGCCCCCCCGCTTCCCGCAAGTCAGCTGTTCGCGCAGGAAGCCTGGGAGGGCTGAGAAGCAAGCGGCGGCTTCGCGCTCAGGCCCAGGGAGGCGGAGCAGAGGTGAGCTGGGGCGGGGAGCGGTTCCCCTCCGCGCCCCTCCCCCCGGGTTACCTGCTGTGGCACGGGCGGCTCCCCCCACCCCAGCTCACCTCCGCTCCGTCTCCGCCTCCCTGGGCTTGAGCGCGAAGCCACCGCTTGCTTCTCTGCCCTCCCAGGCTTCCCGCGCGAACAGCTGATTCGTGGGAAGCGGGGGGGGGACGGGGAGAAGCGGGGCAGAGTGTTCAGAGGCGGAGGCGGAGCGGAGGTGAGCTGGGGCCGGGGAGCGGGGCGGACAGCTGGAGCACCCATGGGGTTGGCTCCTAAGGCGTCACTTTTGGATAATGTGCTCAGGGGGAGCAGCCGCTCCCTCTGCTCCCCCCCAGCTACAGTCCTGGTCACTTCAACTTACCGGTTGTTAAATTTAGAAGCCCTTTTAGAACCGGTTGTCCCGCGCAGGACAACTGGTTCTAAAAGGGCTTCTAAATTTAACAACTGGTTCCTGCGAACCGGTGCGAACCGGCTCCCGCTCACCACTGGAGACTCCCCTTGCCGCTCTCACCCTAGGAGCCAGAGACCTCCCAGCAGGGCTGGTGAGTGCGGCCAGGGAAGGGGGAAGGGTGTGGTGGAGTGAGTGTCTGGGAGATGTGCGGGGGGTGCTGGGCTGTGAGGGTGTGGAGGGCGCTGGGCAGTGGGGGAGGTTTGTGTGTTTTGGGGTGCTAGGCAGTGGGGGCCTGTTGGGGGGTGCTGGGCAGTGAGGGAGATCTGTGTGTGTCAGGGCACTGGGGGTCTGTGTGAGGCATTGTTTAGTTGTGGTGGTGGGGCTGTGGGGAAGGGCACTGGGAGGGAGGGAGGAGAAATCTGTGTGTATTGGGAAACTAGCGAGTGGGGGGTTCTATGTGGGGTGCTGATGTTTATTAAGAGTTACCAGCTGGATTGAGGACTGATAGATCTGGACAGAGTTTATATTGAATGGGCAAATGAAAAAGATTGCAGGGAAAAACAGTAAGGTTAGTTTAGCCGTCTTTGACATTTCGACCAATAAGGAAATTAAAATGCATTTGTAATTACATATCTTATTCTTGGCTAATAATCATTTATTGATATTTTTTAGGAAAATTTTCAATTTAAAACACAAACTTTTGTTTTTCTTTTTTTACTTATGATGTCTATCTGAAAACCCATATAAATTGACACAAATTGCAAATTAAAACTTTTTAAATGTATAAGCATTTTACTCACTTGGGCGCATTTGCCTCATGGCACACAAATTTGAACTCTGCTTCAAAAATTTGCACGGAAGAAATTTTTCTTTTACCTTAATTATACTATCTTAGGAGCCCGCTATAACATAGTACCAAGGTTCAATACAAAGTCATATAAAAGTTATACAAAAATGCATAATGCAGAGATTTATCTACAACTGCATTGATTGACTGCTGTGTGCAGTAATATAGTGACCTCTGGACCTACAGGCTTCCACACACCGTCAGTGCCTTGCTAGTGTGCCATGCGCCGTGAGATATCTCTTCTCTTTGTGTGTGACTGTGAGTGTTTCCCTTGTGTGTGAATTTATTCAACAAAATCTTGAGCTTCATAATGGATACCATGAGTGAAAAGAAAAAGAGAAAAATAGAATCAGAGCACAGAGTTTTCAACACTGAATGGACGAATAAATACTTATATACTATTTCCAAAGACAAAATACTGTGCCTCGTGTGTCGCGAAACGTTAGCCGTTCCGAAAGAATACAACCTTCGGTGGCACTTTGAAACTAAGCATCCCAATCTCGCCAAATTGAGCCCAAATGAAAAAATAATTAAAGCAGCCAGTTTAGCGAAAAACCTTAGTAGAGAACAGCAAATTTTCAAGAAAGTGAGCACTGAGAACGATACAGTTACTAAAGTAAGCTTTAAAATTTCTAAGGAAATTGCTGCTGCTGGGAAATGCTTGACAGAAGGCGAGTTATTAAAAAAAAGTGTATGTTGATTGCTGTATCTGAGTTATGTCCAGAAAAGAGGGAAATATTTGAGAATGTCAGTCTATCACGCATGACTGTACGGAGAAGAATAGCTGACATTTCTACCAATTTAAGTGATCAGTTAAAGCAGAGAGTCAGTGAATTCTGCTTTTACTCCCTAGCTATGGATGAAAGCACCGATTTAAAAGACACCGCCCAACTTCTTATTTTTATTAGAGGTATTGATAAAAACTTTGAAATTACTGAAGAACTTGCTGGCATGTGCTCCATGACGGGTCGCACAACCGGAAAAGAAATCTCCAGTGAAGTGATAACGTGCACGAATGATAAATCGGGATTAGATTTCACAAACTTGGTGGCCATTTGTACTGATGGTGCTCCAGCTATGTGCCAAAACAATGTTGGAGCAGTTACTCTTCTTGAAGAATTTATCGGGAGAGAAATAACCAAACATCACTGCATTATGCATCAGCAGGTTTTGTGTAGCAAAGTCTTAAAATTTGAGCATGTAATGTCAGTGGTAGTTTCCATTGTAAACTACATCCGTTCTAGAGGACCAAAACATAGGACATTTCGAGCCTTTCTTGAAGGGGTAGACACCGAGTGCAATGACTTAATCTACCATACAGAAGTGAGGTGGTTGAGTCGAGGAAGAGTGCTCCAGCGTTTTGTTGCTTTGAAAGAGGAGGTAGCAAAATTCCTAGAAAATGGGCCAATAAAATTCCCAGAGCTTGAAAATGAGTCCTGGAATCAAGATCTCTTTTTCTTTTGTGAGATTACAGCACACCTGAATGATCTCAACATTCAACTTCAGGGAAAAAATCAACTTATATTTCAAATGTGTGCAGCAGTGAAAGCTTTCAAAATGAAATTGAAACTTTTCAGAAGTCAGCTGTCAAAAGGTGAAATGTGTCACTTTCCCACTTGTGCACAGTGTATCCCTCAGCACAAACACGCCGAGTTAGGAGAAAAATACGCAAAGCACATCATTCTTTTGATTGAAGAATTTGACAGAAGACTGACTTTGTCTAAAGAAGAAGACGTCCAGTTGAAGCTGATTGAAGATCCCTTTTCTGTGGATCCAGAGGAAGTGCCACTAGATTTGCAGTTGGAGGTTATTGAACTTCAGTGTTCAGCAGTTTACCGAAATAAGCACAGAGAAAGCAGCTTGCGGGACTTCTACAAAAAAGTCTGGACAATGAAGTTGCACTGAAAACGTTCAGCATTTTTGGACGCACTTACATATGTGAACAAACATTTTCCATCATGAACATGAATAAAAACAAGCAACGTTCTTCTCTGACTGACGACCATTTGGAAGACATTATGAAAATATCCACTTCAAATATGACCCCCAAATGCAACAAGCTTGTTGCCGAAAAGAGATGTAATATTTCTCATTAAATTTGCAAAGTAATTATGAAAATTACAAATGTTTTCTTTCAACGGAACAGATGTTTTTAATTTTTCCATGATTAATAAAAAAATTAAAATAATTTTAAAAATTGTTTGATTTAATTGAAAAATTCTTAATAAAGTATCACACACCCTTCCCCCCAAACCTTAGCTGTTTCGGCGGGGCGGTGCTGGGGAAGGAGGGTTTGTTTCCACTGGGCTGGGCGGTGCTGGGGGGGGGGGGGGGTTTCCGGGGGGCCGGGGGGTTTCGGCCCTCAGCTGTTTTCTTTGGAGTAATATGGCCCTCGCCGCTTTACGAGTTGTGCAGGCCTGGTATAACTGGTCTTTGCCCTCCAGTGCCAAATTTCACTCTTAGAGATTCTCTGGCATTGGGAAGAATTGACCATCTATTTCCATTTCCCCTGCTGTTTACACTCACTAATGTATCTTGTACTAAATTAGATTTTAAACTCTTTGGGACCAGGGCTGCCCAGAGGGGGGGCAAGTGGGGCAATTTGCCCCAGGCCCCAGGCCCCGCAGGGGCCCCCACGAGAGTTTTTCAGGGCCCCTGGAGCGGGGTCCTTCACTCGCTCCGGGGGCCCCGGAAAACTCTCGCGGGGCCCGGGCCCCCGGAGCTTCTTCCGCTCCGGGTCTTCGGCGGCAGTTCGGCAGCGGGCGGTCCTTCCACCCCGGGACCCGCCGCCAAAGTGCCGGGTCTTCGGCGGCAATTCGGCGACGGGGGCCCCCTGCCACCGAAGACCACAGGCCCCCTGAATCCTCTGGGTGGCCCTGTTTGGGACAGGGGCTGTCCTTTTAACTCTGTGTTTGTACAGAGACTGTCACAATAGGGTTTTATCTTGCTCCTGCGATATTAACTAATAAATACACAACAGTGGACAAAAAAGCAAAAGAAATATTAGGTTATATAAAGAACATGATATAAAACAATACTGAAAATGCAATGACATTATAAATTGCTGGGACGCTCTCACCTGGAATACAGCAGGTTAGAGACTGTATTACCATGACTCTCACTGGCAGCTTTTGTGTAACCACCCACACAGGTGACAGAGGCAAGCGGGACCCCATCTCCTTCATAAAACAGGAATGCAACATCTCCTTATCATGCACCTGTTGTCAGAAATGACACAGGTAGATATCCGAGACGGTCAAATGTTTTTGTGTAAAAACTTTTTTCTGATGAAAAATATCCTTTTTGAACATGAACATCTGCATTTAAAAAATTGAATCCTTCCATTTTTTCTGATTTCTCACTGAAATTTTAAAAAATCATTTTGATTGAGTGGGACTCAAAACATTTTTTTCCCCATTTTTCTTCTCCCTTCCCCCTTTCTTACCCATTCCCTCCCTGCTCTTGTCCACTGAAGAAAATCATACAAGTGTAGGACTGGAAGGGACCTTGAGAGGTCATCTAGTCCAGTCCTCAGTACTCAAGGAAGGACTAATTCCTGACAGTTGTTTGTCTAACCTGATCTTAAAAACCTCCAGTGGCAGATTCCACAAACTCCCTAGGCACATTTTTTCCCCAGTGTTTAACAACCCTGACGGTTAGGAAGTTTTTTCCTAATATTCAACCTAAACCACCCTTGCTGAAATTTAAGCTTCTTGTCCTATCCTCAAAGGTTAAAGAGACAATTGTTTACCCTCCTCGTAACAACCTTTGATGTACTTGAAAACTGTTATCATGTCCCCCCTCAGTCTTCTCTTCTCCAAACTAAACAAACATAATTTTTTCAATCTTCCCTCATAGGTCATGTTTTCTAGACCTTCAATCATTTTTGTTGCTCATCCGGCCTGCCAGCCAATTTAATCTGGCCCTCGAGCTCCCGCTGGGGAGTGGGGTCTGGAGCTTTCCCTGCACGTGTGTGCCATGGTCCCCGGAAGCAGCAGCATAGAAGCACGTAGGAGCAGCCAGGGGGCTCTGCACACTGCCCCTGCCCCAAGAACCACCCTCAGAGATCCCATTGGTTGGGAACTGCGACCAATGGGAGCTGCAGGGGCAGCGTCTGTGGACGGGGCAGTGCGCAGAGCCGCCTGGCCATGCCTCTGCGTAGGAGCCAGAGGGCAGACATGCTGCTGTTTCCAGGAGCTGCTTGAGGTAAGTGCCGCCTGGGGCCTGCACCCCTGGGCCCCTCCCGCACCCCAGCCCCCTACCCCAGCCCTGATCTCCCTCCCTCCCTCCGAACCCCTTGATCCCAGCCCAGAGCACCCTCTTGAACCCCAAACCCCTCATCCCCAGCTCCACCCCAGAACCCGCACCTCCAGCTGGAGCCCTCACTCCCCCGTACCCCAACACCCTGCCCCAGCCCACAGCCCACTCCTGCACCCTGAACTTCTCATTTCTGGCCGCGCCCCCAGTCATAGCCCTCACCCCCTCCTGCACCCCAACCCCAATTTCATGAGCATACATGGTCTGCCATAGAATTTCCATACCCAGATGTGGCCCTCAGGCCAAAAAGTTTGCCCACCCTTGCTCTATGCCATTATCTAAATCATTGATGAAGATATTGAACAGAATTGGACCCAGGACTGATCCCTGCGGGACCCCACTCAATATGCCCTTCCAGCTTGACTGTGAACCACTGATAACTACTCTCTGGGAACGGTTCTCCAACCAGTTATTTACTCACCTTATAGTAGCTCCAACTAGGCTATATTTCCCTAGTTTATTTATGAGTAAGTCATGCAAGACAGTATCAAAAGCACTGGTGGGCAACCTGCGGTCTGCACACAGCCTGTCAGGATAATCCACTGGCGGGCCGCCAGACAGTTTGTTTTCATTTGCACGGCCGCCTGTAGCTCTCAGTGGCTGTGGTTTGTGGTTCCTGGACAATGGCAGCTGCGGGAAGCAGCGCGGACCACAGGGACGTACTGGCCTCTGTTTCCGCAGCTCCCATTGGCCGTGAACGGCGAACCCCGCACGGCCACTGGGAGCTGCGGGCAGCCCTGCAAATATAAACAAACTGTCAGGTTGCCCACCACTGATCAAAAGCATTACTAAAGTCAAGATATACCACGTCTACTGCTTCCACAAGGCTTGTTACCCTGTCAAAGAAAGCTAGCAGGTTCATTTGACATAATTTGTTGTTGACAATTCCATGCTGACTGTTACTTATCACCTGATTATCTTCTAAGTGTTTACAATTTGATTGCTTGATTATTTGCTCCATTATCTTTCTGGCTACTGAAGTTCAGCTGACTAGTCTGTAATTCCTCGGGCTGTCCTTATTCCTTTATCTATAGATTGGCACTATATTTGCCATCTTCCAGTCCTCTGGAATTTCTACAATTTTCCATGTTCATTATATTAGATGTCCGATCGCTAACCTTTCTGGTGAAAACTGAATCAAAGAAGGTATTTAGCTCTTCTGCCATTTCCACATTTTCTGTTATTGTCTATCCTTGGTATTCTTCTTGCTTCAAATGTATTTGTAGAATGTTTTCTTGTTACCTTTATGTCTCTGGTTTATTTAATCTTGTTTTGTGCTTTGGCCTTTCTAAATTTGTCCCTACATGCTTGTGGTTTTTTTTTTTTTTTTATATTCATCCTTCATAATCTGATCTAGTTTCCATTTTTTTGTAGGACTCCTTTTTGATTTTCAGATCATTGAAGATCTCCTGGTTAATACAGAGTGGTCTCTTGCCATACTTCCTATTTTTCCTATGCAGTAGGATAGTTTGCTCTTGGGCCCTTAATAATGGCTATCTGAAAAACTGCCAACTCTCTCAAACTGTTTTTCGCCTTAGACTTGCTTCCCATGGGATCTTACTCACCAACTCCCTGAATTTGCTAAAATCTACCTTCTTGAAATCCATTATCTTTATTCTGCTGTTTTCTCTCTTACTATTCCTTGGAATCAGGAACTCTATCATTTCTCGATCACATTCACCCAAGCTGCCTTCCACTTTCAAATTCTCAACCAGTTCCTTCCTATTTGTCAAAAATCAAATATAGAACCGCCTCTCCCCTAGTTGCTTTCTCCGCCTTCTGAAATAAAAGAATCTCCTATGCAGTCCAAGAACTTGTTGGATAATTTGTGCTCTACTGTACTATCTTCCCAACAGATGTTTGGGTAACTGAAGTCCACTATCACTGGGGGAGGGAGAGCTCAGTGGTTTGAGCATTGGCCTGCTAAACCTAGGGTTGTGAGTTCAATCCTTGAGGGGGCCACTTAGGAATCTGGGGCAAAATTAGTACTTGGTCCTGCTAGTGAAGGCAGGGGGCTGGACTTGATGACCTTTCAAGGTCCCTTCCAGTTCTAGGAGATAGGATATCTCCATTAATTTAATTTAATCACCCCAAGTCCTGTGCTTTGGATGATTTTGTTAGTTGTTTTAAAAAAACTAATCCGTCTCTGGAGGAGAAAAGGGGAAGGGGGTACAAATTCCAAACATGTTTCATTTCAGTTTGCATCACATTTTTTAATAAGCCTTTTGATAGAAAAATTGAAATATTTTGTGAGAGTTTTTTAACAAAGTAAAACCAGTTTTGTTTCCTTTGAAAATTTTCACTGAAAAGAATTGCCTTTTTTCACCAGCTCTACTATTGAACTTTAGTTCCATTATAATATATTTCTCTCCTATACTGTCCAGCCCTGAGTCTGCTCAGTATTCACACTTCAAACAAAGCCTAAAATTTGTGAAATGCCCTCAGGCTTACATCTGAGTGGTGCAGACTCCTTCTCTGCTTATGCTTAAATCAAGGTGATCTATTATGTACTGGGACTATAATCTAAATAATTTTCCCCAGCTATTGAGGAGCAATAGATCTGCATGTAATGCACATGCTTTGATAATGTCTTCAAAAGTGCAGTCAGAGTGTTATTGTTAAAGCATTTATTTTGCATTTTAGAAAGCGAAAATAATCTAGGAAGACTGAAAATAAAATAAATTTTACAGAAACTATACAATACAGTTTTGCAACAGCATAAACAAAGTAATAAAACAGTAATGCTAGTAAGAATTTTATGTTACAAAGGAAAAGCAAAGAGATAGTTCCACTTACCAGCAGTTGCCTGTGGGAGCTCACCCAGATCTCTTTACATCGGGAACTAGCAGCATCTGAAAACTGCAAAGGAGACTGACCATGTGACTTTTCCCCCCTGTCACTCCTCTCTCTAACAGTCATGTTTGCCTGATTGGTTATTTTGAACAACTTGAATAAATACAAGCCATAGCAAGCAGATTCCTGATCCCCACAGTCAGTATTTGTAACAGGAAAGCAAAATATGTGAGCATTCAGTTCAAGGAAACTGACTCATCAACACTCCTTTGTGCATTAACTGCCAGCCATTGTGTGACATTTTAAGCAAAGTATCCAATACATTAATTTGCATATTAGCAAATGTGCAAATTACCCTAAACTTCATTTTTAAAAGCTTTATGGATAGAAACAGAGGTCAGTGGAATGGGACAAAGGAAACAAAAGTGTAGTTCTGGGTAGAGGCAAGGTGTGTGAGGGTCATGTACCCTCCCCCCAGTTTTATGCCTTCCATTTAGCAACAGCTTCAGAGGTTTTCAAGCTGGGGTACGCCTCCCTCAAGGAGCTTGGAGGAATGTTGGGTTTTTTGGGGGGGAGGGGAGGAGCAGTGATGCCAGGCGGCTCAGGTCAGTTCCACATGGTGGGGCTCAGGGATGGAGCACCACCTCCACCCTGAACTCACCTCAGCGGGCTACCCAGCCTGTCTGGGTTGGGGGGAACTTTCTGAGCTGAGCCCCTCCGTCCCCGCACCTTGGAGTTACAGTTTTTGGTTGATTCAGGGGGTGGAGGTGGCGCTCTCTCCCCAAGCCCCGTGGCATTGCCGCTCCCCCCCCCCGAACATTCCTCTGTGCCCCTCTTGGGGGCATGCCCCCACAGTTTGAAAACCTCTGTTCTAGATTCAGAGGCAATGCCTGGGGTCGTCATGTTACCCGGGGTTCTTTCAACCCAAAACTCTTGGTAACTTTTACTCTGTGCGAGGAGGTGTCAGGAAATAAATCAGGGGAGACACGGCCGTCCGACCGATAGATGGCTGGCACAAACAGGACAACACAAGAGTGCTTTCACTTAAAGCTGATCTTTACTTAGTCTCAAGCACTTACACACGTCCGCAACAAGATTAGTAAAACACGCCCAACCCTTGATAATTACCAAAGCTGAGTGTGGCTTTCAAGTGACACAGTGGCAGGCTTCCAGTGGCCAAATCTTCCATCTGCTGGTGGGGACCGCAGGATGTATCCAGAGGGAGAGTCCAAAGAGAGTCCAAAAGAGTCCCCAAATGAGTCCAACTATCTCAAGCTTTTCCCCCTTATTTATACATTAGTAATAGAATGACATGTCCCTTAAAGAAACCTTGTTAAGTAAGCAGTTTCAATGGTCAAGCAAGAGGTTCCTTCTGATTAACCAGGTGTGGGTTTTTCCAGAGTTTGCAGCCTTGAGACCCAATAGACATTCCTGGGGCATAGCCTACTCTTTTAAAATGCATGTATCAGCAACTTCAACACAATTCTTATCAGGAAGGACGCGGGGTCAAGCTGCCCTTTCTGTGGCACCCCAAACCTCTCCCCCCTCCTGCCTTGGTCAAGCTGAGACTGCTGAATGGCCAATTTACAGCTTGCTGACTAGGCTGCCTTTTAACAATAAGCCATAGTGGTTTCAGGCACTTTACTGGTTTGCCAAAATCTCCTCGTACAGTCATGCCCCGCCCCACACCTTTAAATTGTGCCCCCCCACTACCAACAGTTACATATTGCCTCTGGGTCTATGGGGTGGGTCAAGCAGATAACAGAGGTTGCCTGTGCAAGGACACCAAGCAGAGACCCCTGCATGATGCTCACTGCTCCAAGTCCCATGCTCCACAGTGGATTTCTGTCTGGATGCAGGAACAACCAATGCAAGGAATTCAGGCAGAGGGAGCCTTGCAATGAAGCCTCTTACACAGACAGTTTGGCCAAGGCCAGGAGGAGATTTACACGGATTGCTTGGGACATTGTGGAGTGAACAAAAGGAAAAAAGTGTGGGAGGAGTGCAGCCAGAACTTCAACAAGAGGTTCTGGAGAAGCTGAAGTAGGGGGCAGCAACCTGCTATGCACCAAGGACTTCTTCCTCTAGAGCAGGCCTGCAAAACTCATAAAGCAGCGAGGGCCATATTACTCAAAAGAAAATAGCTGAGGGCCGAAACCCACCAGCCGCCCCGAAACACCCCCCCCACCCCAGCGCCGCCCACCCCTGCGGAAACAAACCCTCCTTTCCCAGCCCCACCCCGCCGAAACAGCGATATTGAACCTTGATAATATGTTATAGCAGGCCCCTAAGGTAGTATAATTAAGGTAAAAGAAAAATGTCTTTTTGC